AGTCATGCTCACTAGTCCATGACAACTCGAGGCATGCGCAGTCCTCACCCACGTGATCACCTCACATACTCATTCTTGACCTTGGAGCCATAAAAGGACAAAACCGGAACGGTGGTAATCTATGCAGTGGGGAGGTAGGGAGGGACTTTATCGCGTGAGATAGGATAAGTATATAAATATACAATTTATAGTTAAAATTTTCAAATTTTTAAACTTATCCTATCTCACGACTTGCACTTATCCCACGGTAGGAAGGTGGGTCAGAGATTACCCGAAGTTTAAGCGATAACAGCTAAGTGTTATGCCCAAACAACCGTGAGGAAGCAACTACAAGGTAGGCCAATAACTACCAAGTTACTACGCATGCAGGGTTAGTGCGAACCCATTGACTTACTAAGCACAAATGCTCCCAGGGACTGAGATTCCCGAGCAATGTGGTGTTCAGTCACTACCTTCACAAAGTGAAAGGACGTAGCTTAGCGAAAGTGTAATCAGTCGCATCGCCACGCATTTCCAAGGTACCCCCGTAATAAAAGTCTTACGACTAGTATCGGGCCAGCCCCTGCTTCAAACAACCCCCACAGACACCGGCCCCAGGAGGGTGAAAGGGTAATTGAATCGGGTAAACTCACAATTTTAACGCTCAGTACCACAACATCATCTTATGACTTCCACTACTTACCACAGTAAGATCACATAGATGTGTATAGGCACTTAGGAGCATGAACGCCACGGTGTAACACTTCGAAGGACTCACTTCACTGACTTAATTACTCCGTGGAGCAGAGGACAGTAAGTGAGGTGGCTTAATCTCTATAGTCTCAAACAAATGAGAGGAGAAATCTAAATCCCGAAGAAACAAAAACGTAAATCAGAAAAAGTTTTCAGATTCATTCAGATTGTACACAAGCAGAAACGATCGCGATCTTGGGATCAACTGCACAGTGGGATCCATATAGCATCGTGAGCACAAGGAAGTTCATTATCTGGCGATGTGCCGCTTGATAACTGCTGGGCAAGGACGAAAGTGGTCCAAACTGATGAAGGCCTTGAATATCCGCCACCGCAACATATCTCTGAGGTAATGAGACGAAAATATCGCGGTCAGATCGCCAAAACAACCCTCCATTATGGCAGTTAACGAAAGCAGTTGCTATGCAACGCCATAGTAGAAGCCAATGCCCTGGTTTCATGAGGGTTGACTCGTCGAGGTGGTGGCAAACCGCAAAAGTGTAGGCTCGTGAGTATTGTAGCTCAGAGCCAATATGAGAGTGTTGTGCGAGACTTCCGCCTTTGGAAGCAGTAGACAAGGGTATAAACAGTCTCTTACTCAGACGGGCGGCGCCTTTGGCGATGCTTTAAGGTAAATGCGAAGCGCTCTGACTGGACAAAGAGACAGATCTTCTACATCTGCTGGACCCAATATTGTAGGCAAAGGCGGGATTGTAAAAAGACGATCAGCTTGACCCGGCAACTGTTTTTTTGCGACAAAATCCCAGCGCAATCCCAAAAATACCTTGCCATGTCTACTCTGTTCAAAACGGACACGGTTGACATCTAGAGCATGCAGTACTGATATATCGCGCTGTGGCCAAGGCAATAAGAAAAAGGTCTTGAATGAAACCTGTTCAAATTCCTTGTCCTGTAAGGGTTCATAATGCTCGACACTAAGTGGCGCAGGACCACGGATAAGTCCCAAGCTGGTGGATCTAAATTTCCTGGATTGGTCGGCTAGCTTAAAAGAACGGCAAGTACTGCAGTTCCGTACTGTCGAAACCTTCGCACTCAGAAGTCGGCTAGGACCGAATTAATAGCCACCAAGTAGGTGGCTAAAGTGGAACCCCTTGAGTTTCCTTTGTAGCCCGCAAATGTTGTAAATATTCCGCAACAACCTGGGGCGAAGCAGTAGTAGGGGAAGCGATCCCTCTGACCCGACAATAACATTCAAATTTCTTCCACTTATCGCCATACAAAGAACGCGGTAGACGCATCGATGAGCTGCAGGGATAGCTGAGGCCACTCTGTGAGAATAACCTTTGGCTATTAGTGATTTCTGCAAATGTGCCATATGTGAAGATTGAACGCCTGTAGCAACTCGCGGATACACGCCCGAAAGCGGATGAACTAGTAGGTCGTCCCCGCGACATCGGGAAGAGGAATGCTGCTTCGACTGACTAGACTTTTTAGGTCTAATTTAACCAACTTCTCGCCGCCAAAAGGGCACTACCAAAAGCAGTTGTACTTTGTTGGTTAACAGAACTTTCTGAATGACCTTGTGAAGTAGAGCTGAGGTGGAAACGCGATAAGCGCTTGAGACCTTCCCAGGAATGGCTAAGCGCCATGATCCCAAGCTAGTGAATCTGGAATTGGAGACACCTAATCTCGGCAGTTGGGAGTTGAACCGAAAGTGGCAAACAGGTCGACACTTCGGTCGAGAGAGCCGGGTAAATTATTGTCCAAAGATCTTGGACAGGAGTTGCCACTCTGTAATGACGGGCGACTGGAACAAGACAGAGCGCCGGCAATCACGCTCTTTGTTCCGGGATGTGCCTGGCTCTTTGCGACGATGTTGAGAGAATCTATCAGAAGATAGAATCAAACGCCCACTGTAGGAGTGCTGCTGATCCCGCCGAACCCTAGGTGATTGATGTACCACACTACCGTCAAGTTGTCGGATTGTATCAGCAGGTGAGACATCTTGAGTAGAGCAGCCCAGTGCTGAATCGCCAGTAATACTGCCTTGAACTCCAGAATGGTTATGTGGAGTGACTTGTCTTCGGACGACCACTGCCCTGCCACTTGATGCTGAAGGAAGTGGGCCTCCAACCTTCTAGAGAAGCGCCCACAAACAACTGATGGGTTGGACTGAAGGGCACCAAAGAGACGCCGGCGCAAACATTCTGTACGTTGAGCCACCAACGCAGAATTGGACGTAGTTCCCTGGGTAACCGAATCAACTCCTGAGGGTTGTTGGTTTGAAGATGAGGGTGCAGAAATAACTGAAGCGGGCGAAGCTGCAGTTGACCTCTGTAAGTCAGAGCCTGAGCTGACGTTAAGACGCTTCAGCAACTCCTGCCACTGGCGTAGAGTTCTGGGTTGATCCAAGGCTAGCGGAACCAGACGCTGAATTTTGGTCCACCTGTCCTGGGGAACAAACAACTTGGCTTGTTCTGTGTCGAAGACTGCTCCTATGAACTGAAGTCTGCGAGTCGGTGTTAACTCCGAATTCTCGTAATTGAGGAGCCACCCTAACTGTTTGAGCAGCCTGATGGTGAACTCCCGATGGATTTGAAGAATGATTGGATCCTGTTGTGCCTGAATACAATCGTCGATATAGCTTTTGAAGGTCACTCCCCGAGAATGCAGGAAACTGCTGATGGGTTTGGTCACCCGAGTAAAAAGCCACGGGGCCGTAGAGATTCCAAATTGAAGGACTTTCCATTGGAAGTGATGGTCCCCGAAGGTGAACCTCAGATACTTCCGATGATCTGGGTGAATCAGAATGTGCAGGTATGCGTCTTGTCGATCGAGGGATATGAGGAAATCCCCTTTCTTCAGAATTGAGCGAGGAAGACTGACTGATACCATGCGAAAATGAGGCGGTTGTTGCAGGAATCGAGCGTTGAATGTCTTCATATTGAAGATGAGACGCAACTTGCTGGAGTTTTTCTTTGGCACCAGAAAAATCGGGGAGTAAAACCCTGGAGTTATGCACACCGGATCTAGGCGTTCTATCGCATGTTTCTCCAGTAGAGTTGAGATTGTAGCCGAAAGGACTGCAGCCCGATCCAGAGGATATATGTGCTGCAAAGGTTGAATGGTGAGGGGTGGATCCCCGACCACAGGCAGTGATAGCCGTGACAAATGGATCTCCCAGAAACTCCCAGTTGGGAGCAAACAGACCTAACCTCCCTCCTACAGGGGAATTGAACACCGGAACCGGCAGAACCAATCCGAGCTCTGACTTCCGTGAGTCACTGTTTGGACTGTCTATTTCCAGTTCCAGTGTCGGGTCGAAAGGGGCGACGTGACGCGGAACCACGAAATGGCTTCTTGCCCCTGCCACGTGCTTGAGAAGGCGCCGTGCCTTTCATACAGTCCCGAAGGTCTGGGTTGGAAGGGGTAAATTGTGCGGTTCGGTGATGCTGCATAGAATCCTGGAGCGGAATTTTTTGCAATTCCAAGAGATCGATCTCAGACGAAAAAAATTTCACGTCCACTCAGTGGAGCGACAAGAAAGAGAATGAGTATGTGAGGTGATCACGTGGGTGAGGACTGCGCATGCCTCGAGTTGTCATGGACTAGTGAGCATGACTGAGACAGGAAGGCACGCACAGCACGGGGACAGGGACAAGGTAGGCCTGGAGCAAAGTTTTAATTCGTTTCCACTCATGGTCGAATGAAGAGAGAGAGGTGCAAGTCGTGAGATAGGATAAGTTTAAAAATTTGATATTTTATACTTATCCTGACTCATGAGGTAAGCCCTCCCATCCTCCCCACATAACACTTTGGATTTCCCTGTAAATTCAAGTGTTGGGCTCGCTATATCAGGAGAGAGTGAAGCATGAGGGAAGAGGTGGCGCCTCCTTTCCGGCGCATTTGGAAGAGGGAGGCAACTCTCGGTGAGTACTAATTAGTGATTTTACATTGAAGGGAGCTTCAATTAGGGAGATACAAGTGTTCCACTATGTTCGCAAGAAGAAGAAGACAAGCAAAAGAGCATGAAAAATATCAATTTTATTCAGAAAATTACATTTTCCTGTTATTCCTTGTGTTATCACTACATTTTTAACCAAAACCCCACTTTCTGATTGATGGGTCTCACCACAGTTGCTAATACATTATCACAACACCTCTGTACCTGCAGTACCTAGGACTGCTGGGCCATGCAAGTGTTACCATGGCTACTGGTACAGTATCACCACAAGACCACTATAACTTGTAGTTCCATACTAGTGTTGCCATGGTTACTGTCACAGCATTACAACACGGCTTCCTACCTGATGGTGGGGTCTTTCCAGGAAGTCCCGGTTGACCCTGAGCTGGGTGGGAAGGGAGAACTCAGACATCTCCATGTGGAGAGAACAGTTGGGAAACTGCTCCACAAACACCTCTGCTAGAGTTGAGTTGCTGTCAGTGTAACAAGTGATTATTACTTGGAGAGACGACTCAACATATTGCAATAACACGGTTATAGTCTAAAGTACTTTTGCAATAGTGTTGCAAAATAGGCACAACTAACTTGTGAAAGCTAATTTTCTTCACCATCCTTCCAAGATGTCTTCAGTCCTTGAAACCAAGTCAATGTTAATGCTAGGTGTTGCCCTGACATTAAGCCAATGCTAATGACACTAACTACCCTGAAATCTAATCAGAGTTAATGAGAGCTGCAACCCTCCTAAACCCAGTCAATGCTAATGATAGTTACTTCTCTGAAACCCAGTCAATGGTAATGATACTTACTTCTCTGAAACCCAGTCAATGCTAATGATACTTACTTCTCTGAAACCCAGTCAATGGTAATGATACTTCAATGCTAATGATAGTTACTTCTCTGAAACCCAGTCAATGCTAATGATAGTTACTTCTCTGAAACCCAGTCAATGGTAATGATAGTTACTTCTCTGAAACCCAGTCAATGCTAATGATAGTTACTTCTCTGAAACCCAGTCAATGCTAATGATAGTTACTTCTCTGAAACCCAGTCAATGCTAATGATACTTACTTCTCTGAAACCCAGTCAATGCTAATGATACTTACTTCTCTGAAACCCAGTCAATGCTAATGATAGTTACTTCTCTGAAACCCAGTCAATGCTAATGATAGTTACTTCTCTGAAACCCAGTCAATGCTAATGATAGTTACTTCTCTGAAACCCAGTCAATGCTAATGATAGTTACTTCTCTGAAACCCAGTCAATGCTAATGATAGTTACTTCTCTGAAACCCAGTCAATGCTAATGATACTTACTTCTGAAACCCAGTCAATGCTGAATGATCAATGTGATACTTCTCTGAAACCCAGTCAATGCTAATGATAGTTACTTCTCTGAAACCCAGTCAATGCTAATGATACTTACTTCTCTGAAACCCAGTCAATGCTAATGATAGTTACTTCTCTGAAACCCAGTCTGCTGATAACTTCTCCTGAAACCCAGTCAATGCTAATGATAGTTACTTCTCTGAAACCCAGTCAATGCTAATGATAGTTACTTCTCTGAAACCCAGTCAATGCTAATGATACTCAGTGCTTTACTTCTCCAGTCAATGCTAATGATAGTTACTTCTCTGAAACCCAGTCAATGCTAATGATAGTTACTTCTCTGAAACCCAGTCAATGCTAATGATAGTTACTTCTCTGAAACCCAGTCAATGCTAATGATAGTTACTTCTCTGAAACCCAGTCAATGGTAATGATACTTACTTCTCTGAAACCCAGTCAATGCTAATGATAGTTACTTCTCTGAAACCCAGTCAATGCTAATGATAGTTACTTCTCTGAAACCCAGTCAATGGTAATGACAGTTACTTCTCTGAAACCCAGTCAATGCTAATGCTTGCTGTACTCACACATGGGTGTTGGCCTGGGGAGACAGGACGTACATGTTGGTCTCACACAGTGGATAGATGATTGTGGCCTTTGCCCAGTACACAAGGTGACTCGCCAGTTGAAATACCTGTCACAACAAGTCACATTATAATGTTAAGACATTTATTGTATGACAACGTCACTGCATCACACACGGTAACCATGTGGGGAATCAAAACTGGGTCTTCCACATGATAGGCTGGAGCTTTACCACCAGGATACCTAACCACCCTTCTTGCTTATAATTTTATACAACTTCAAAGGGAAGGCTACTTCTAGCATCCAGAAGGATGCTAATACTAATCAGAATAGCATCATGGTTTCTGAATCCCTGATTATCCATGGAATGAAGTCTCCAAGTTAGTCATATAAACATACAGTCACCTGTGAAAGACTGAGGTCAGCGTCTAGAGCTAATGTCTGCAGATTCTTCAAAGGACTGGCGATCTGGACGAGTCGGACCAGCGTGGGGGTACAGTCCATGGGGAGCGAGTCCAGCAGCTCCTGCTCCTCAACCAACAGCAGAAATCCATGATACGGCCTGTAGACAACATGAACTGGTGAGGTGAGGTGAAATTGGGTTCTACGTCGTACTTGAGAATATTTCGCTCATATGACGACGTGCATGCGTGTGTATGTGTATGTGCGGCTGCTTGTACTAGCCCAGACTGAAGCTGGTTTTATAGTGCTAGCCCACTGAGATACCATGCCGCAGTGAAGCATGAATACCCCACTCAGACACATTATACTGACTCCGAGCCGACCAGTCCTTGTTGTACCCATTAATGCCGAGCGCCAGGCAGGTACCAACAGGTATCCTTTTTTGGTATCACGCAGTCGGGGATCGAACCCACGACCTTCCGCTCTCCGGGCTGACGCTCTAACCACTACAACACGGAGGCGGTCCAACATGAACAGAGTACAGGATGTCTCTTCAGTGCATGGTACGGCCTGGAGGCATTAGTCACTTGCTAGTCTACAGTCTAGCACAGTGGGGAGCTGTGGTGGCAGCAACAGTAGAGTGAGCTCTGAACAGACTATCACTGTGAGGAGATTTAATCACAAACATACTGAGTAAATCAAAAAGCTGCATGTCTCTTGAAATGAGATGTGACAAAACATAGTGGAATCCTGCCATTATCAGAGGCCACCCTGTTGTGTTCCTTCATTCATCTGACCTACTACCACATAGACAGATTGATGACCTTCAACAAACAATCATCCATACCTTAGTGAAGATAGGCACTTCTGTATGACTTCAGGCTGAAAGTCCAAACACAAAGTCATCAGTCTCATCCAAGTCTATACTATTAATGGTAGGCATGTGAAAATGAAGGGTGACAGGAGGACAAAAATATATTACTCTACATCAAACAAATATTACATACCTAAATGGTAACACATTACCTATACACAATGGTTTAGCTTTAAAGGTATCTATGGTCAGATAGACTGACAAAGTTTGGGTGAGATGAAACATACTTATCTGTGGACTCACCTCAATGTGCATCACTTTGTTTGCGACAGTAATGACATGGATTTTGTGTGGCAGACAGAAGTTAATCTGTATCCAGCGGTTGATGTGCATCTGGACCACTCCAGTAGACACCAGGCTGTATGGAGACAGACACCAGTGAATGAATAGGAGACCATTCTAGCATGACATTACTTCACACAATCACCAGGAACACTCCAGTGTTCACGAATGGTGTTTCAAAGTAACAGGACATTGGGTCCTGTAAGTTTTAGATGTCTGTCTGACCAATTGAAAATTCAGAGGACCCATAGAATAAAATTAAACACACATTTCAGATTTAACATTTCTTATAACTGGCATTGAAATTATTAACAAACATAAGATTTATAACTTCAGTCGAAGTCATTGTGAAATATAGAGTCGGACACTGGGGCCGGCAGGTTGTAGACTTCTATCGGACCGTTGGCAAATCTGCCGGATTTGTCAGAGGGTCAGACACTATTCGTGAACACTGCCGCTCCAGTAGACATCTGGTTATATGGAGACAGACACCAGTGAATGAGAGTGGAACATTCCAGCATTAAATTACTTAACATAATCACCAGGACCACTCCAGTAGACACCAGACTGTACACCAACAGATACCAGTGAATGAATGTGAAAACATTCTGGCATTAAATTATTTCACACAATAGTCATGATATACCTGTCATATGACCTCAAACAACCAAGGCCAGATTATGAAACACAAGCACCCTACCCCTGTGAGTAACACAACTATTTCCAAGGGGACAAAACAAACCTGTCAAAGACGGACTTGAGTTCTCGGGCCAGCTGGGATCTCTGCAGTATCAGCTTGAAGGGAGGCTCTAGCGAATCTACACACAGAAACAAACCAAGTCAGCATTTCTGAGTTACCCTGGTTACACAATGTGTAACAGTACACATTATAAATCAGCAATTACATCACGGTGAGTTGGTTTTAAATTTGCTTTGAACAGTGTTTCAGTTATATCAGCTTAACGTGGGAGGTAAGTCTGGAGTGATGCAGTCTCAGATGTGTAACATTCTGGTGAAACACATGAACGTGCGAATGGTGCCCACAAGCCTTGAAACATAACTGGGGCGAACCTGGATTTTAACTTATGGTCATAAGGTCTCTGCTGTGCACAAGGGAAGCAACTGCACAGTGAATTACAGCATCTTACACAACTGAATCAGACAATTACAGATAACAGTAGCAGTCCTCAATATTTCAAACCATGTTTACAAGGAGGACCTATCCTGCATAATTCTGATCAGAATATTAATGTTATTATTGTTTATCAGTACCATGGGATTTCTTTCAAATTGGTTGCGGATATCTGAAAACAAACTGAGTGGATGTGTTTTGCCATAGTCAGCATTAATACAGCTATAATGTCTTGATAGCCTTTTAAACATTTAAATCTCACCAGTGATTACAGCATGAGTGTATGATTCATGACATATTTCATGTGGAGACATGTTGTTTGCCACTAGAGTCAGCTGCTTCTTGCTTTTCAAGTATAATATAAGCAGAATCACAGCCTGTAAAAATGTATTCCAGATACGATTAGCTTTGGTTTGTTTTGTTCTTGTTTTAACGATGGTGATACTATTAGCAATGCTGCCAATTCTGCTGAGATAAGATGATACACATGAGTCATCATGCCTGGCCATCTGATCCGGTTAGGACAAGCAAGGTACTGAGGACCTATTCTGATCCAAGTCCAACGTCATTCAGCACATTCAGTATTTAATACCTTCAGGCAAAGCAGCCACCTCATCATGAACAGCCATCATGATCTTGGCTTGTGTTGATAGATACTGACATCGTCTCTCCTCATGACAGACAGTCACAGACAGCTGCTTGGCTAAGTCGTGGTAACTTTCAACAGCGGATGTACAAGTCTTGGCCTGTAATGATCATACAAATACTAAAATAGCTCTGCTTGTCCAGGATGCTGGTAGCTGTCAACAGTGGACATACAAGGATCTGCAACAGTTATAAGATGTTCCACATACAGGGACAAATTGTTGTAAAAACCAAAAAACCCTGCTAACGACACCTGAAGAGATCGTGGCCTGGGACATTTTCTCTGTCCTAGCAAGCAAGATTGTCTGTTACATTGATTTGAATGAGAAATAAAAGTATTTTGAAGGTAAGTATTCAAAATTCTGAGTTACCTTAAGTGCAAACACAACATTGACGGTGATGATCATGTGACCAGCTGACGATGGCTTGCTGTCCACATGGTACATCTTCATAGGGAAACCGATGAAGCGAATTTCATCAATCTTCACATTGAACTTCTTCTTACAGAGTGAAGATTTCACAGCTAACAAATTTGCCAGAATCTTGTCTGAAAACCTTGGAAGAGAAAGTATTGGAAAGAGTGAATTTGGTTGAACAGGATCTCAGTTATATCACAGTGTGTCAGCTTGATGTAGGAGAAATGCCTGAAGTGGTGTAGGTTATAGAAGCACATAGTTGTTGTGCTGGCAAACCTAAAACATAATCAGTGAGATTTGATTACACAACCATAGGTTCCTTGCATGACTGCTGGATGCAACTATGCACAGGAAACTGTGGCACCTTAGACAGGTTGGGTCACTTGGCAACATCATTACTTAGTTATTTCTAAAACCTAGGGCCATACTGCACTATTAAGAGGTTATTACATGACAGTTTTCCTTTCGCCAGTTATATCATCAGTCTGAGAGTACCATATCAGCCCGATTGACTGGTCAAATTTTTAATCTTACTGTACTATTGCCAATAGTCATTTTTCCAACACAAAACAATGTAAGTTACTTACCAGTTCAAGTTGGCATTCTTGCCTGATGGGATCACAGTACTCCTGCAAAACAGCATCATATTTAACATGATAAAGATCCAAAAGCAGTCTGTGCAGGAAAGTATCAGTGTTATCATGGTCATGCGTGCTAGCGAGAAACTGGCACTAGCTCTATTATCTGGGCTGAATGTATTATTGTTGCATGGTTCAGATATACACTTGACAAGTAGAAAGTTACAAAACTTAATAAATATTTGGGATTAAGACTAGTGTATATATGCTTCACAGTGGTCCGGGGACACCAGAAATGGGGTACAATGAGTGAAGCCCATTTCTGTGTACAACTCCCTACACAGAGTATTATCCAATGAATGTACTATATAATTTGCTGGAATATTGCTAAATCCTCCCACAACCTGCAAATGGGGCACCTGTAAAGAGAAACCAAATTCAGTCAGTCAGTATAAATCCATAACAAGTACAGAAAGTGTGGTTATTCTTTCTATTTTTCAGTGATTTTCTATATATTCACGAATATGGTTTTAAGACTGGAGGTTACATTTTGACCATGATTATGAGGGAATTATTATTATTTTGTTGGATGTACATGTACATAGATTTACAAAACTGGAATACTGCATCAACCAAGTCAGCGAGCCAAGACCAATGTAAGCTCTCCAGTAATATAAAAACTCACTTGCTACGATGATGATCCTCAGCAACCTTGGATCGTGTAGCATATGGATTACGACCATACACTGAAAATAATCATGTTGAAGGTATTGGCTTGTCAAAAGTCTGTATCATCACTGGGCTAAGAAATGCACAATTGTGTTTTGCAAAATTGTCACTCAGTTCAGTAGGTTACAACTTACACATTTACTTAGACTTACATTTATATGGCATGTGTACCAAAATTTACCGTCATAATTAAGTGCCTATGTGGACGCTTACCAACGCTTAAAAACAAATAAAGATTGTAAGACGTAAAGTGTAAACAGCACAGAAAGAACAGAAAGAAACAGAACATTTTGCTTAGACCCTTATAAGTACCTAAATCTGATGCATTCCTGAAAATGTTATTTAGGCTATATGGTTTGTGTTCTGGGGCTATTAAGTAATCATAACACAGAGGCAAATGTGAACGAAAACCGGACGACGAGGAAACCTTCGCTCACCTCTTGATACCGTGTACCGGTTGTCTTCGGATTCGTACGGGTAACGGAATAACAGACGGTCCCCTCGTGTTCCCGATGTTACAACAAAAATACCGAGAGGGTCCATGTCTTCCATGATGACGAGTTAACTGTTAACTATCACATCTGACACTGACATACTACAGTTGCTCAACTGAGATGGAGTCGTCCTTCGCTCGATTACCTCCCTTTTTCGTGCGTAGCCTCCCTTTGGTTCGTCTGCTCAATCGGTCACGAAACGGTAAGTTCGAAAGCGCCGAAATTCAATCGTAGGTGTCAGGTGAAATGTCAATCAAAGCATAATTAATTTCCAGTCAGCGTTTTGTGACATTTTTCAATGGATTATATTTACATGAGATAGGAGTATATTGCAAGTAAAAGTCTCGCACCTGTTTTAGTTTCTCATCACTGCAAACATTGCAAACAAATGTTACTGACCTGTCTTGTATACTGTGTAATGTAGGTAATCAATAGTGTTTCTTTTAGATCACCATGGCCACTCAGTTACCGTGTTTGACGCAGAGACACCGGAAACACAACGTTCATTGGATGGTGGTGTCTCCAGCTCACAGTGGGGTTTTGTGTGTTGCTTGTTTGGTGGAGCAGGTGGAGAATGATGAAGCCCCACTGGTACAGAGAAAAGTCGTCCTGTCATTGTTGGCCAGTCTTCTTGAAGACAATGGAGAAATAGCAGCCAAGTTTGAAGAAAATCTTTTACTTTGTAGACACATGATTGACATTGTGACAGGTAGCCTATATGTACATAACTGATTACACTTTAATTCCAGTTTGTTTATTTGTTTCTTTTATCACATCGCACTCAATATTATTCCAGCTATATGGCAGTGGTATGTAAATAATTGAGTCTGGACCAGACAATCCAGTGACCAACATCATGAGCATCAATTTACTCTGTTGGGATACAATGGCATATGTCAAGCAGTCTGACCACATGATCCCTTTAGTCCCCTGTTACAATATGTATGGGTTGCTGAAGACCAATTCAAACACAGATCTTCGTGGGTGATGTTAAAAGAGCCAACAGATTATGTTGGACTATGGCATCTAGTAAAATATAAAAATATGTTTAGTTCCACTACTACTACTACTACTACTACAAATACACAATGCCATTTAGAAAGTGGTCAAATGCAACATATGTCATATTTAGGATTACACTTTCTCAGTAAAGTACCGATTCTAGTATCTAGTACTAGTAGTTACTTTTATTAGGTTGTCAGGAGTCAGGCACTCAATCACCTGCACACGAAGTCAGCCAACCAACCCACTCAGTCACTGCAGCTTCAACAAAAAGGGAAGTTAGACAACTGTTTCCAGTTTACACTTGTCAGAGGGGTACAGACTTTTCGTGAAACATGTCATATTCACCTAATGGTGGGTTTGTTGCAGGCCTAAATGGCATTATGAAAATGTTGGGTCTCCATCATCAAGGCTCATCTTCATCATTTCTAAGAACTCAGATGAAATGTTCCCTTTTATTTGTTACAGGCAGTTTTTTCAAACATGACCAGCATATGGACACAGCAATTAAAGGTGATGATTCTCTCAAGTAAATGTGTTCTATGCAGCCTAATTAAATCCAGTTTGGATAAAACACAAGCTTTAACTACAAGTAACACTTGTAATTGGTTGTTCAATCCAAACAGTACATTCTTGAAAATTGCTGTCTTATAGATTTCAGCTCCATTTTTTAATGCACAACCCTGTGCACTTAAAAGAACCCACGAATCCGTTGGTATTTGACCAGATGGTGGCCACATGAATATGTGCAAACACCTATAGTTGCGGGTACAGCAACATGCAGTGAACATGGACAAAGTACTGTGACTATGTGTCCCAGTCCACCCAGCTGTGAATGGGTACCTTGTTAGGATGAGAAAGCCACAATAACTCGGTGCGCCTAGTGGCTGCAAGAGTTGTATACTCCCCAGGGAGTTGAGATTGATAATGCGATGTGCCGTTGAGATTGACATCCAATGATCGAAGGAAAAGATACCAGCACCTTCAGCATGCACTAGTACGTGGATATGTGCGCTATATAAATATCCTATAATAATAATAATAATAATACAATGCAAAGTTTCAGTATAGATAATAGTGAAGCATAAACATGTAAAAGGCGCAAGGCTAGCATCACAGCATTGAAAGGAAAAATGTTTGAAAATCCATGTCATCTCTGTCCTCAGTGTCTTTACTGGTACTACAGATAAATGCTACTTAAGATAGGGTACACATTTCATTTGTGACTTCTTGTTTTATAGAACTACAGCATTGCAAGTCAGCTGTGTATCATTTCAGTGTGTCAGCTGATACTGGAGACTGCTGAATCGGAGGATTTGGTCTGGTACACCATAGACAAGTTCCACTTCGAGGTAGGTTTCAGCATATGCATGTGTGTAATAATTCAGTGTTTTAGAGATTTGTTCCATACAGCCATCACTGTTACAGATTAAAATATACTCCTACTGTTTAGTAACTTGTTTTGACTGTCAAGAAATAAGTGTTTCTGGGTCCTTTAGGTGTTTTCCTATGGTTACTAAGGCTGTTACGATTCACTCGTATATTTGGTGAATTGCAATCACTGGAATTCTTTAATTTTTTGTAAAGGAGAAAAGGAGTGTTTTCATTTGATTTTCGATGTTATTTATCAAAGTGTGATACACAAAATGGAATATATCCCAAGCCAGACAGGATACTAGTCAAGACTCTTATATACTTCATTTGGTCATCAATGGTCATTGTTGTGATAGATTAACACTGTCAACATGGTGAAAACATGTCAAAGAATATATCTGGATATTGTTTCACCAAAGGTAAAGAACAGTACTTATATGTATTTGTTACCCAATATTCATGATATGTATTGTATTAGCCTCGTAGTGGATAGGTTGCAGCCCTTTTCCCAAAATATTAACGATAAGTTTATGGTGGGGACACATTTCATGCATAATGAAAACAATGGTAATTGATCAATGTATCATCAGTACATCAAAGAGTTATACTGGTGAAGGAGACATGTCTAGTGTTATATCTGTGATGTTATACTTGTAGTTGCAAGACACTCAAGATCTGGTATCTGTCTCACCATACTTGGTGCTGCTGGGGAGACTGCTGGCTATTTCTCCTGCCTATGGATTTCACATTCTTGACAAGCATGGTAAACTTCTCAATCAGCTTCACACTTACTCTGCTACAAACATTCTGTCCTCTTATATTTGTAAACAATATTTCTAAAAAGACATTACCATAAATCATTCTTCCTAAACAAGCTGTGTAATTATCATATTTCAAAAACTGATGTACTGAAAGATGTGATTTATAGACTCAACTTCAATACTGGGTACATGTGTTTTGTTTCAGAATCTCTCCTTCTGCTTGTACTGAGGTTACTGAACCAAACATCTGATGAAAACTGTTTGTGTTCTGTAATCTACGTCTTCATCCATCTGTTGGATGACTCTCTGCAATCAGACATGTCCCTTGAAGTCAGATGCAGTGTCTATCAGGTGTTGGTGTCTCTCCTTGATAACGCTCAAACTCTGGATCTGAGATTCAATCTCCTGGGTGAGTAATGTCTACCAGGGTCTACAGTCAAAACCTGATAAAACCTACACCATATTACTGAAATTTTACACTAGACAGAGATACCATTTGGATTGTTGGGTATAAAATTCAGTCCTGATTTAGATGAAATGATTGATATAAATTTTGAAACCCATGTGAAACTAGAAAGGCAGGTGGTCAACAGAGCTTCTAACTCCTCTTAGCAGGGGGTGGTGGGGTTTAGCCTAGTGGTTACGGCGTTCGCTCGTCACACCGAAGACCCGGATTCCATTCCCCACAATGTGTGAAGCCCATTTCTGGTGTCCCCCACTTGGTGATATTGCTGGAATATTGCTAAAAGCGCGTAAAACTAAACTCACTCACTCACTCACTTAGCAGGAATAGTCATATCTTTTCATCCATACCAACATTGACATAAAACAGCATTAGATTTGTTAATGAATAAATTGATGAAATTGGAGATTAACTTACATAGAAATATTCCAGGTAATATAAAAACTAATTATGTAAACTATCTAAGCCTAATTCAGTCTTCCAAACAATATTGTGCTGAACATTGCATCCTGAAGGTTGAGAAAAATAAGCCACCCACTATTACTACATACCATATGTTGGTATATGACTGTTGACAATTAGAAACAAATCTTTTAACAAAAGAATCAGACATAAAATGCCAATGTTCCAAGAAACCAGCAATCAGTACTACCTGTGTTATTAGAGTGTGTTTTTTGTAGTTTGTAATATCACATTGATTAAGTGATAATTATTATGGGTCACAATGTTTAAAGTTTTGAGTGTGGGTTTTGGCATATATGTTCAATGGCAATAGTATTTTTAGATTAATGAAGGAGCCTAACTTTGCTAGAATGCTCTGAGAACTGTGTAAGAGCTATATAAAGGCTGGTTGATGTGTTGTGCGATGGGACTTATTACATGACTGGAGTTATACACATCTGTCTGCCATCATCTAAGTGAGTGATCGTGGCTTGCCTTTTCAACTGTTGTCATTGTAAACAACCTTCAATCAATATATATCTGTTCTCACTGTAAATGTCAAGACTCTGGTGAATTAATATTTTATATTTGTGACCCAATATTTTAGATTTGTGACTCAATTGCATTGTACTAGATATCTGTATTATCTGAGATTCAATCTCCTGGGTGAGTAATGGCTACCAGGGTCTACAGTCAAAACCTGATAAAACCTACACCATATTACTGAAATTTTACACTAGACAGAGATACCATTTGGATTGTTGGGTATAAAATTCAGTCCTGATTTAGATGAAATGATTGATATAAATTTTGAAACCCATGTGAAACTAGAAAGGCAGGTGGTCAACAGAGCTTCTAACTCCTCTTAGCAGGGGGTGGTGGGGTTTAGCCTAGTGGTTACGGCGTTCGCTCGTCACGCCGAAGACCCGGATTCCATTCCCCACAATGTGTGAAGCCCATTTCTGGTGTCCCCCGCAGTGATATTGCTGGAATATTGCTAAAAGCGGCGTAAAACTAAACTCACTCACTCACTCACTCACTCACTTAGCAGGAATAGTCATATCTTTTCATCCATACCAACATTGACATAAAACAGCATTAGATTTGTTAATGAATAAATTGATGAAATTGGAGATTAACTTACATAGAAATATTCCAGGTAATATAAAAACTAATTATGTAAACTATCTAAGCCTAATTCAGTCTTCCAAACAATATTGTGCTGAACATTGCATCCTGAAGGTTGAGAAAAATAAGCCACCCACTATTACTACATACCATATTTTGGTATATGACTGTTGACAATTAGAAACAAATCTTTTAACAAAAGAATCAGACATAAAATGCCAATGTTCCAAGAAACCAGCAATCAGTACTACCTGTGTTATGAGAGTGTGTTTTTTGTAGTTTGTAATATCACATTGATTAAGTGATAATTATTATGGGTCACAATGTTTAAAGTTTTGAGTGTGGGTTTTGGCATATATGTTCAATGGCAATAGTATTTTTAGATTAATGAAGGAGCCTAACTTTGCTAGAATGCTCGAGAACTGTGTAAGAGCTATATAAAGGCTGGTTGATGTGTTGTGCGATGGGACTTATTACATGACTGGAGTTATACACATCTGTCTGCCATCATCTCGTGAGTGATCGTGCTTGCCTTTTCAACTGTTGTCATTGTAAACAACCTTCAATCAATATATATCTGTTCTCACTGTAAATGTCAAGACTCTGGTGAATTAATATTTTAGATTTGTGACCCAATATTTTAGATTTGTGACTCAATTGCATTGTACTAGATATCTGTATTGTCAATCATTGTAGCTTGCTCATTGTTTGTTCAATATATTATTGAATATTTTGGACTTGTATGTGTTCTATTTTGCTGGTTCTAAGGGGACTCTTAAGCCTTTTGTCTCGGCAAATTATTAACCGTAACACCTGCTAAAACAGTAAATACTGCTATTGTGAATTATGATACTGGATCCTTTAAATAGTGAGTACTGGCCAAGCTGCTATTTCTTTTCTTAAAGTATTACTATGATATCTTATGTACCCTCTACTGTAAAATTCTACTAAATGAAAAATCATAAAACAATGTTTGTTTGTTGTCTAATGCCACACTCACCTATATGGTGGCATAAAACAATAATAATAGTTGAATGGTAAAAGGTGGAAATATGACTAGTAGAAAATAAAAAATATTTTGAAAGATGTTCCTATACATTATTATTAAGGACTAGTGGCTTAAAGGTCACATGCAACTCAAAACACAACTTTGCAGATTCTGATACCTTTCGGTATGGACTTTACAGATACAAATCATCAAAAATGCAAATTCAAATTATAAAGTTGAAAAACAACGCGATGAAAACCCCCCTGCGAAATCGGAGTTCAAACGATTCACTAAATTCACCCCAGCAGCTTGGGGTGAAAGTGGTTTCAACAGCTGTGCTGGGCTGAGCTCATAGCGCATGCACAGTGAATAGGTTCGCGCAGCTTGGAAGAGGGATGTCCGAATTATAAGGTCGTGGGCAGGAGTAGTCTAATCAAAACAAATAGTACATAATCTACTCGTTACATAAAAGAACCTTGGTAGGATCTAGATCTACTCAGCTATGTGTCAACCAGTGAGGCGTTCGACATTTCAAGACGGAAAACCTTTGCTGGCATTGAATACTCAGTGAAGGCTTTGATGTGAGCTATAATTTTTCTAATGTTTAGTTGATATTTCACAGGCGCGAGCTTTTTATATGTTATGACAGTAGATTACCGATTTAACTGTTTATATAATTTCATTTGTCTATTTCAGAACACGTTCTTCTTACCGAGTAAATTTCTCAGTTCGATACTTAAAAGCAATGTCATTATTTAGCATTGACAGAATTTCTAACTGTGATATAGATATGTCTTTGTCACAAACAAAACTCAATGTCTGTTTTATTGACACCTATGTGTCTGCCTGCCTGTCTGCTAATGACAATATGCAACTTCGATCACTGACCACATGCAATTTGAACTTAACACCTATCAGGCTATACACCATAAACAAAACGCATTGATTTATGGCTCGTGCACCTGAGTTTGGTCTCTGTCACATTATGTAATTACACAGACAGGCAGGTGTGATACTTGTACACATGACATTTTATGATGTCTGTTGATTGCAAAATGTTATACACCAAAAATGAGCATGTATTTACAAAACCCAACATCTCTATATATACACACACACCATGAGCCGTGGGCATCGGCAAATGAACCAGACACTGAAAGTCTTCATTACACTTGAGTGCACACCCACCTGCTCTGACTGGGGTCGGTATCCCGGGTGCTTCGCTTCGAGGGAAGTAAACCCAAGTACACAATATTGCACTTTTGATTTGCGATTGTACGCTTATAATTTTGTTTATATGTTTTTTCATAATCAGCAATGTATATATGTCATGAATAAGTGATAATTGTGTTTTAATTAGGTTTGATTTTTTGGTTGCATGTGACCTTTAAATGAGTTTCTGCAGCTTGATCTCCCAACCTTTGTTTCAGCGCTTCTCAAGAACATCCTGAAGCACACAGATAAAGACTCTGTGAAGCTGTTGATGGCACCAACCCCTGACAACAGGTACTTGGTGATGGGACTCAAGAAGATGCTGATAACTAAGCAGGAGATGCTACAGACAGCCTCTGCACACTGCGTGAAGGCTCTCATGTCCTACTCCCAAGATGAAAGTACAGTCACGCAGATTCTGGAGAGTGATCTAGCCGGTGAGTCAGTTGGATTGAGTACAGTGGAGATCATAGGGGAAATTCATGAAAATCAAAGTCAGAGGTATTCTCAGCACTAGAAGAGTGTTTTAATGTGAGACAGTATGTTGAACTGTTACCTCAACTTCCTTAAAAACATTATTTGTCACTTTCCAGTCGATCACTTGGACACACAAGGTCAACATGCGTAGGGACTTTCTGGTGAAATGTCACAGACTCAGAATGCCAAGTGCTTAAAAGATGCTGTAATAAGCCATGTTTTAATGGCAATCAGTATAAAAAAGAGCTGTAACCTTTCACCTTTATCAAAATTATTAATACACAATGCCAGCCTTCATGTGTGTTGGTGATTAGGTGTTTATGGGTGCTGTAGAGGTATGCTCACAGGGAAAGAAACCTTTCAAAATGTCCCACTAGACCACAGGACCAGTGAGTGGACAATAATTAGTGGTCCTGTCTATTCTTCACTTGTTCAAAATAAAAAATTTAGATTTTAACTTAAAAAATTCACTTGCCACCAGGACCACTGCGAACTTATCATTTAGTGGTCCTGATTACTAGCCAAGGACCACAGGAACAGCTTAAATCTTGCACACTAGTGCTCATGGTTTATTGTGTGGGTAACAGTATGAAAACATTCCTTCAGTTCCGTTTTTAAGACACTGTTTTATCATATTTGTCATGTCTTACTGTTATATATTGGAAAGCCTTTAAAGACATAAAGACTACATTGTAAAGATCAGATGCACTGTATTATTATGTTTGGTATTTCGGGGTTTTCTTTTCAGAATTTCTCTTTGAGTCTTTGCATACACAAAGTGGTCCTCAACTGGAGTAAGAATCATTGTGAACACTTTGCTTTTAATAGTTTATCATTGTTCCTGGAGTTTCAATTGATCTGTTTGTGAATTGTTGTATTGAAAACTTACCATGCCAGGATGGTCTTCATACTAATGTCTTGCTTTCAGCACATGTATTTCTTATTCTGATCTTATTTCTGTGGTATATAAATTCCTAGATTTCAGTGTTATCAGATTTGATGTCTATGGTTTAATTGATAGCAGTGTTTGATTTCTATCACATTTGAGCAAATACTAGAAAGTGTATTCTTGCCCAGCTTTTCAAAATGCTAATCATTCTACTGACACATTTCGTTGTATCTAGAAGATATCTCCAACTGGAATTCTACCAAGTGTGCTTTTAGCAACATCACTCACTCACTCACTCACTCACCAATTTACGTTGATAGTAAATATAAAAAAATTTTTATGCTTTTATTTTCATTCAGTATTTCATTCTCCTTTTAGTTCTGTATTCCAGTGCCTTCAGATGCTGACAGACTATGAACAGTTCTTCACACGCTGCCATGCTGTCTATGGTCAGTTTTACATTTATGTACTGGTATTAATATTTCAAAATGATTGATATTGTATGTGTTCTATGAATAAAACTGAAAAGTGTTGTACAGGGGATACATGTTTTATACAACTGCAGAAAGAATTATTGGAACAAAATAATGTGGCACTGAAGGTGTTTTTCAAAATGATTATTCATATATAAACACAGTACTTCTGAGACTTTTGAAATACTACTTGACATGATGCCTCCAATTGAAAGAGAATCACTTGTAGTGTTGTATTAGGAAACATTTAGGATGGTTAGTTTATGTTTGCATGTTGCAAAATAATTTTTGGACTGCCAAAAAGTGGCAGGCAATCCCTTTGACTGCATCGTACCACAAGACATCCATAGATGGTACTTGTTGGTACCATGCTTGGGCATTAAAAGGGATACATTTTGGGCTGTTGACTAGGAGTCCATATACTGTTTCTGAATGGGGTATCTATGTTATTCTTGTACAGATTTTCCAGACTAAGAGTGTATTGGTTTCTCACTGTGGTCTGTATGTTGATATGAGCATTGGTTCCAGGTGTTGAGTCAATTCTGCGTTCCCTGTGTGTTGTGATGGATGTGAAAAACTATGGACTCATAGAGAAGGGTTTCTGTCTACTGGCTAACATACTGCACCGGTGAATATTCTTAGCACACTCTTATAGCGTGTCCAAGATAATTATGGTTTGATATGATAATATCATTTGATACCTGGTGCAATATTTCAGAGTGAGTGAGTAGACTTTAATGATGCTGTGAACAGTTTTCCATGATAATTGTAGTTAATGACTTGACACAATTCAGATAAAAATTACATTTATAAAATGGAATCACCACCACTACTGTCTGATTCTTTGTGATTTTTCACATATTCTTGCCTTGTAAATACAACAGGCTCACCCCAGGTGTGTGTGCCATGGATGATTATTGCAGTGTCTGCACAGATAGTTTGAAGTGCTGCTTCATTGCAGGCAGCCACCAGGGATCCCCCTGTTTGTGAATGCGGCATCAGTGAGACAGTGTGTACACCTGGTGAGGCAGGGTCTCACTCTGTCTCACCCAGCTGTGTTCCTCCAGGCTCTGATAGCTGCTGGGCCACTTGTCAGGTGAGGGATGTGTTGTGAAGAGTGTGAATCTTTTTACAGTTGGTGTAAGAAGGACTCATTCATGCAGTCCACTGAACGATTGGTATAAAACTGAATAAAATACATTCTGTAAAGTAATCATCAAGTATTATCAAGTATCGGGCGTGGTGGGTGAGCTGGCTAAGGTGCCAGGCTAGCGATCCAGCGAGCATGAGGTGCCGGGATCGAGCCCACCTGTGACTGGGTGTAAAAACTTTGGAGTCAACTTTGTTTGCAGACTATTTCAGTGTTGCCAAAAACCCCTAGTGTACAATACACAACCTTGTGCACTTAAAAGAACCCCCGAATGGTGGCCATATGAATACATGGGTACCTCGTAAGGATGGGAAAGCCGCAATAACTCAGTGCGCCTTGTGGCAGCAAGAGTTGTATACTCCCCAAGGAGCTGAGATTGATAATAAGATGTGCCATTGAATTGACATCCAATGATCGAGGAAAAAAAAATATTAGCGCCTTGAGTATGCACTAGTGCGTGGATATATGCGCTATATAAATATCCAATAATAAATAAAATAAAATTATCAAGGAATCTTCTCAGGTCTCTTAATTTCAGAACATTTGAAGCTGTGAAGGGGATAGGCATAAGATGACTACCTCCTGAGTGTATAACAGGGTTCGAAATACCCCATATATTAGTGTGCCATGGCATGGTAAATATTGAAATGGCACGACTAAAAATGTTCTCGGTGCCCTTTTGACACGCCTGATTTTTTGGAGACATAACTCGCATTTAGTCATTTAATCCCCAAAACAATTATTTTTTTCCAAATTGAATAATACCATACATATTTGAATGCTCATAAACCCATTTCTTTATTTAACAATAAATTTCAAATGATCATCATCATTGTCATTTATTCTAAAAACATGTGGGCATACTCAATTTCTGAAAGGCACACCTAAAATATTTGTCTGGTGCCCTAAGGCACACTTAGAAAAAAAGTATTTCTATCCCTGTATAACCTGAATGTGCTTGAATATGAGATTGTAATCCTTGCCTGATATCAGTTCTCTGTGTGTCCAGCAAGCAGTACCTGTCGTGGGTGTATCGATGTGAGGTTGTAGAGGACCTGCTGAAGGTGGCTTGCTGTCAGATGACTAACCTCAACACCTCTCTGTGTCATGGCGGACAGAGACTGATGGTCCAGGGGACAGACCAGCAGTACCCTCTTCTTGCTTTCACAGATCTCCTCACTGTATGCTGTAGGTGGGTAGAGACACTGACATTGTTCAAAGATCAATAAGAAAGTATAAATGACAAAGAAAAGTAAATAGGAAGTAGAATAATTTTTCTTCGGGGCAGTTTTATTTATTGCTAAAGGTTGTAGTAGTTCTTCTTTCATATTGGTCTTATTTCCTTTTTACTTGAGTGAAGCCAAGCTCTCCCTCATTAAACTGCAAAGTGCATTTGTGTATGAGTGCTTGCAACAGTCACGTTTACTTACTTATTTAGTCAAATTATCACTGCATTTAACAACCAGCTCAAGTAAGTGGATGTTCACCAAACACATTTTTTTCTGAATGCACTTCAGTAGCTTTCTAATTTTCTGCAGCTAAGTGGAGTATTATTATGAATTAATATCAACCTTCATTTTCATTTGTTGCACCAAGCTATAAAAAAGTACAGAAATACTTTGATCTTTAGTAATTTCATGCTAACCTCAATATGTGTGTAAAACGATTGCATTACATATATCATATAACAAATGTAAGTCTTGCTGTTTTCAAACATCCATAACTTCCCATACAACAAATGCATGTGTTAGCATCTCTTGACACTTTCTGCAGTTATCTCTGGGAGGTTTTCCTCTCTATCTGCATGTTTCAGAGTGTGTGCTGACAGTGTACTCAAGTCCTCCAGTGAAATGGGAGATAAGCAGTGGCTGAATGTTGAGGGCGCTCTCTCACTCCTGTTGTCAGCTGCAGAGAGACATCTAGTGCCATACATACAGGTGAGACTGACAATCTCTCCACTGCAGGCTTCAAACACTGGGGTCTATGAAAATACCATATATTTTATAGAAAAAAGTAACTGCATTTGAATGGAAAAGGAGCTCCAGTGAGACTGGAATTTAGGTACCTGCACCTGTGAGGCTCAGCTGACAGTTCTAAGATCTACTGAGAGCAATGCCATTAGAATTTAGACAAGGTTAGGCTAGTGAACGCAAATGTTTTCTGACTGACTACCACTGTCTTTCAGCACAGACGTATATAGACATTAGGTGGAAAATGCTCTTGTCAAAGATCTGTAATGATAAATCATATACCATTACTCATAAATTAGTATGATTGTGTTAATATGTATAATATTTATTCATTGAAGCTGTATGATGTCACAATGCCTCATTATCAGGGAAAACTTGATATGATGTCAGTCATTCTTTACGTCGTCACAAATTGATTACATTGTCTCTTCCTCAGAACAGTTACCCTTGAAGGTCCGGGTTAGAACATTGATCTTCAGTAACCCATGCTTGTCGTAAGAGGCGACTACCGGGATCGGGTGGTCAGGCTCGCTGACTTGGTTGACACATGTCATCGGTTCCCAATTGCGCAGATCGATGCTCCTCTTGTTGATCACTGGATTGTCTGGTCCAGACTTGATTATTTACATACCGCTGCCATATAGCTGGAATATTGTTGAGTGCGGCGTAAAACTAAACTCACTCACTCACTCACTCCTCAGAACAGTTTCCCTATAGGGTTGATATTTCATACTTTTGACTTCATTTTCTTTCTAAGAATGTGAATGTATCAAAACATTTTGAATAACCAACTGGGAACTCAGAATTATTATGTGCCTCATCAAAGACTCAGGATTCATTCACTTGGGACAGATAATTCATAATTCCTTGTAGCTTGTTGGTTATGAAATATGATTTTTTTTTGTGATGCTCTCTGCCTATTTCAGACAGTGTTTGAGTCTGAAGAATGCCCTCCTGGCCTGAAGACTGTCCTGGCCTGTATGAATGAGCTGTATTCCCAGACAGGGAGTGACATGTCCAAAATGTCTCTCATGTTCACACGGTCGGGAGTCATCATTCAAGCTCATGTTGTAAAATCTAGGTACATCTCTGATTTAAATATCCTTATTGTGACATACAAGGTTTTGACATGGTCACTAGCCTAATTGTTCAAAACAAATTAAAGGTTTATTGACGTGCAGTTTTTGCCCTGATCGTAGTAATACAATACAAAGAACCAGTCCAATAATAATTGGTGACCAGATGTATATAGCTTGCAGGGACTACCATCTCTGTAGATTTATGTATGATTCTGTATTGTGTTATGAATTTATCTTTTTTTTAGGTCTTCAACTGGATTAAAATATGACTTAACTTGACATATTATTTACATCTAATGCAGAATTTTCTGTAGTTTGCCATTCTGTTCCCAGTGAGGATTCAAGGGAAAAGGTCCTCAGTTACCCATACTGAAGTGACTTTAAATGTCAGTCCGGCTCAGTGACACCATGTTGATTGTATGTCATTTTCTCCTGGTAGGATGGGTTTTGCTCATGAAATTGATCACTGTTTTTTTTCGGATCTAGGCTTTTTTTATTCATTGCCATGTGATACAGCTGTGATAAAGCTGACTGTGGATTTAAACAAGACAATAAAATTATTTTTGTCTACAGAGTGGTTGGTCCAAGGTTGAAAAAAAGAAGATTCCAAACAATTCTTTCACTTCCTGTCATAAATCTTCAGTTAATTTTTTTCAGATAAATTATAATAGTTCTTAATTGCAGTGATTTAATCAGAGATCTTTTACAAATTTAATGTATTTCAAGTTGGAAAACTATAAACCCCACAGCTTTTAATTTGTAAAGTCTTAAGAAGCCAAATTTGTAAAAACGTTTACAAAAAAGTGTAAGTGGCTTAGTATATTTCTCATGACCTTGCCAGGGCTACTGAGGATGTGTGTGAAAGCATAGACAAGTTGCTGGAGAATGTGTACAGAGACCTACTGGAGAAGATCATCCCTCTGAACCCTGCCCCTCCCAGCTGGCTAGTATCTGGTGTCGCCTCAATCAAATGTATGTCATGGAAGGACTCACTTGATCCTAAACTGGACATTGTAAATCTTTCCTGCCATTATGATAATGTCATCATAGTGATTATTGGTGTGGATTAGGTCGCGAGCAACAAACTCACTATCTTGGTTGCTTGCATAGTAACTTGGATCATAATGTTCAAAATATCAATCACTGGTTTGTCAGGTCCTGTCTCAATTATTTACAAGGCACCATTATATAGCTGGAATACAGCTGAATGCGGCTTTAACAAACAAACATTACCCTTATGTGGAAATGTCAGCTTTAAATGGTCCAAACATAGATTCTAATACTAGTAATTAAGAGCAAAGTTTCAAGTTCCCAGATTTGATAAATTTGTAGTGAAATGTATGTAACCAGATTAAATCATCTCATGTCAAGGTATGCAACGTAAATAAAGTATTTCATCACTAAATACATTGACAAATTCATGATAAATTAATGCTTTGTCAATGTATTTCCTCCAATGTAAAATATCAAAATTCAAAGCTGTGTTGAATTCACACCTGAAATCTTGAGTGGTAAATGTTTATAATGAATTTTGCTTGATTTGCTTCATACAAGTACTAGCTCTTGTACTGAAAATTTACACAATAACTTTGAAATTTGTTTGTCATCTCAGTTATAACTGATACTACAGTTTTTAAATGGAGCTTAATGATATTGATGATGTGTGTTCTCCTCCAGTGCAGTCTGGAGATCCATGCCACATGCTGCATGCAGTAGAACAGAGTGGGGACACAGCATGGACAGTGCTGCTGATGCTGTACTTCTCATATCTTTACAGTAACAGGTAAACAGTCATCATTCAAACACATGAAATTAAAATAAGAGGTTAGATGAGCATGGTTTTGAATATTTTTATTAGGGGTAGCGAGGTAGCTTAGTTGTTCACTCATCACACTGAAGATAGGTTTTATTCCTTACATGGGTACAATGTGTAAAGCCCATTTCTGGTGCCCCCATGATATTGCTGGAATATTGCTAAAAGCAGCATAAACTCATACTCACTCGTTCATTTGGTACATGCATACAATCCCTGGATCAACTATTTAGCTTAAAATTGCTGATTGTGACATTAACCAGCAAAGAAACAGTTTTGGAGATATAGCATCACACTGAGTCATATTCATTTCTGAAAATACATTTGGAGCTATCAAATCTACATTTATTACCTCTAAACAGAAACTCACCATGTTTGTCCTCTAATCATGCAGTTCAATGCAGAGTGTTACTGACAGACTCCCATCATCAGAACATTGTTATTGATATCTCCTGTTGGATTACAATAATAGTTGTAGTAGCATAAACCATATTGAAACCAAGTTTGATAGTTACAGCAATTCAGTTGGTAATATTTTCCTTAAAACCTTTTTACCAAGTTTGCTATAGACAATTACTGGTCTTTACTGGAATGAACGGTTAAGCCCCCATGCTCTGTTGTAACTGGCATGTCAACTAATAAAAACAATTGTATGGAAGAGAATCTCTCCCAGCTTTTGTAGAAGACACTAAGGACGTTCAACATTTATGACATATCATTAAAAGTGGTGATACCCAGTGAAATATAAAGATAAACTGTCATCCACAGCTGGGTGGAGTGCTGTGATCTCCAGTCTCTGCTGCAATGTTTCCTGGCCAACAACAAAGACCTGGCAGGATTACCTCCCCTTGTTGTCAGATGTCTTGCTTTCCTTGTGGCAGTGAGTATGTTTGTTTTGAGAGCAATGTTACAATTGGACCCCAAATGCGGTATGTAGTCTATGGCATTTAAAGATATATATTTTTCCTTATCCTAACTCATGATCTTTTGCTTATCTCCTTCTATGCGAATGTTAGTGGAACACTTGAATCCTTTGTAGTTCCCTAAAGTGGACGTAAAAGTTCACTCACCCACGAATTACCTCCCTTTTCCCACGCAAACAGTCATGTGACAAGCCATACTTGCCACTCTCTCCTTCATCGCCCAAGCGGATGGTTGGGTGAGCACTTGAGTCCTGTATACGGCATTTTATCCTTTACATTTAGATCCTTTTATCCAACTTACGCTGTGTATGATTTTCGGTTATAACTAGCTTGCATTATATGTAAAAAATTTGAAGAAACATATTTGCTGACCCTCCGATACTTCTACCTGAAGTACCTATTAGACCTGCCAGAATGGCTACGCGTTGACCTCCACGACGACGCGATCGTCTCCTGCAACTACGACAGCTGCTCAGCTGTTTGACAAATGCTTCGTCCACACCGCATCAGTTCAAGACAACGCACAGCTTCGATCCGGGCGACTTTATGAGACAGTTTACTACGCAGATGATGGAGCGTCGATTCGCCGAGGAAGCAGAGGCACAGCAGAACCCTACGGGGGCAAGCAACGTAGGCAGATCCTCGGACCTTCGCAAACCTGATAGACCTACATCTACGCCTCACAGGTCTAGAACTGAAGATGCATTCGCAAAGAACCTCACACTCAGACGACTCAGTCATCATGGATGAAGACTGAAAGTTCACAAATGTCCCTGAGACTATGAGAGATACGTCAGCGAACCCTCACGTCAAGAACGTCTAGGAAGCCCTGTCTGAGATCCAGCCATTCCAGATCTAGATTCCGCAGCCCTCACAGACGTTTGGAGGAACGTTCGCGAAGAGAAGGTTCGCGAAGAGAAGGTTCGCGAAGGGAAGAATCACGAGAAGGTTTGCGAAGGGATGGATCACGAGATGAAGGTTCGCGATAGGAAGGTTCGCGAAAGGAGGCTCTGCGAAGGCACAGTTCAACTGACTCGGAACTATCTGATAAACAGGGTGACTTCATCTTCTCAGAAGCGGAGGTCACATCTTGGATAGCTAAAGGATTGGACTTAGAGTCCCCCTCCAAAGAATCGGATGAAACATGCACATATAAGATGTGGAAGGACAACTTCAACTCTTTTATGATACTACCAATTGAACAGATATCCAAGGTGGCTACGAACCTAGGCACAGCTTATCATTATCAGAATCAACATCTACCATCATTCAACGCGAGGAAGTTTCCTCTATATCATATGGATCCCCTTCATGAGAATGCCAGACTTAGATGACAACATGAAGTTGGATAATGACTCACGGAACAAGGACTATAAGGTGGAGGATAAAGAGTTGGCTCAACTAGGAGAACTTTCTTCGGGTTAGCAAGGTCTAGAGCGATCAATGAGGCATTGATAACTCAATTCAAGAACCCTAGGTCGGAAGAGGATAGGATGATACTTTCAGCTCTACTAACTCAGAGAAAAATTACCAACACTTCATGTCGGGTCACTTGGCCTCAACGTCGGTGGGTCTCACCTTATTACGTAGACAGGGTCTACTAGCATCTTGTTCCTGGAGTGACAGATTTACCCAACCGCTACTAAGAGCTCCTTAGGCGGTGCCTACTATCTTCGGAGGGGAGATTGATGAAGCTGCTAAGGAAGCTACTCACGACTCAAGAGAAGTCATGATGATCAAGTCTATAGACACTTTGGCCAACGTCATTCGCCATACTTCACAGAAGTACAGCAACAAGTCCAAGTTTTCCGGTATTCAGAAGGCAAAGGAGAAGAAATACTCCAGCTTCAGGTGCGGGAAGAGCCCTTTTCATCGCCTATCCCGAAACTACAGAGGGAACCCTGGGAGAGGACGTAATCCCAGAGGTTCTAGAGGAGCTAGACGCTGAAAATGGGGTTCGACTAGACACTTCCATCCCCAGCTGTTCCTGTACAACCATCGACAGTTGGTGGACGTCTACAAAGGTACTGGGAAAATTGGGGAATATTGGAGGACGACTACGTATCACAAGTACTGCGAGAAGGGTACAGAGTGCAGCTCAAGGCCACACCACCGTTAACCCTCAGACCGATTGTCTTTGACTATGCAGACGAGCAAGCAGACAAGTTAGAAAAAGCCATCAACTCGCTTCTAACCAAGAACGCGGTAGAATAGATCAACATCATCTCACACCAGGCTTTTACTCCCCAATTTTCCTAGTACCCAAGAAGAATTCCAAAGAGAAATTCAGGTTGATTTACAACTGAGGAAATTTAACCAAGACTATCAACTCAAACCAGACAGGTTGAAAATGATCCACCTACTTCAACTCAGACAACTCATCCGTCCAGTAGATTAAATGGCGAGCACAGACCTTCAGGATGCATATCTGCACATCCCAATACATCTGGAATCAAGGAAATTCAGAGGTCAGCACTTCCAATGGAAAGTCCTACCATTTGGAATATCGTCGGCTCCGTGGTTATTCCCACGAGTGACCAAGCCTATCGTCACCTATCTACATCATCGAGGTCTATGCAGTGCCTTTTATCTGGACGACGGGATACAGGTTCATCAAAATGCCAGTCAACTCAGACAGCAGCTAAACTTCACAATCAAATTGCTCACACAACTGGGAACTGGCCAGTGAACCTGATGAAGTCAGAGTTGGAACCAAAACAAGATCTTCTATTTCTGGGAATAAGATTTATCACAACACAGAATCGAATTGTGGTCCCAGAAGATTGTTGGGTCAAGATACAAGCCATGATTACCACTACGAACATGGCAGTGTCTACTCGGTCTACTAACCTCAGCGCAGGACTTGACTCGCACAGGAAGATTACAACTACGTCCATTGCAGCGTTTCCTGACAAAACATCTGGACAGCATCGACCTGATCTCGCTACCAGACAATCTCAAGATGTACCTGCTGTAGTGGACTCACAGGTCAAATGTCTGCGGAGGGACCTATTTACAAGAGCTGGTCTTCGACACACACCTTTACGTAGATACATCACTACATGGATGGGGTGCGCATCTCAACAACCAAGTAGCATCAGGAAAGTGGTCGAAACTAGAACAGCATCTTCACAGCAATCTGCTGGAGATGAAAGCTGTGATCAACGCCTTAGAACATTGGTCGAGCTCAGTGATCAACAGAATGCTGATGGTCCACACAGACAACTCAACAGTGGCATTCTCCATAAATCGGCAGGGATCAACAAGATCACCAAGCCTAATCCAGCTCACATTCCAGTTGTTCATCATCACGGAGGAAGCAAACATCTGGCTAAAGGCGTGTCACATACCAGGAGCCAAGAATGGACTAGCAGACGCTCTATCTCGTCCGTCACCCACGGAATGGATGCTCCACCCAGAGGCATTTCGGCTCATCATAATGGAAATAGGATCCCCATGCATAGACCTGTTCGCCACGAGGTTCAACAAACAACTACAGACATTCGTCTCACCAGTACCAGATCCTCAAGCCTGGGCAACAGATGCAGTGAGCATATCATGGGAAGGACTAAATGCATACCAATTTCCGACTCCGATCTTACTACAGGAAGTACCATTGAAGATCAAACAGACCCAGCGCTATGACTGACTTTGGTCGCGCCCTATTGGCCAGCGAGAGTCTGGTTCCTAGATCTAGTACAAGAACTCGGAAGTCCAACCCTCAAACTACCAGAATGGCCGAACCTACTCATACATCCACACTCCAAGCAAGAACCCACTAATCTTCCAGTTATACGTGTGGACCGTATCAAAACTTGTCTAAAACTTGTCAGCAAAAGCAGTAACCTTAGCGTTATGCAGATCAACTCGCAATTTGTACGACAACAAATGGCAGAGTTTGAACAATATGCAAGGCGGAAAGGCTTCACAGCTATGAAAGCATCTCATCCTCAAGTGGCGGAATATCTGTGTCACCTTAGATATACAAGGCATTTGAAAGGTTCGACATTATCTACATATCTGGCAGCGATTAGTACAGTCGTCACTATGAAGACAGGCATCAAATTGACGAAAGTACCTGAAGTACTTGCTCTGCTACGCTCTTTTAAACTGGAAGACCAGCAAAAGAAATTCAGAGCACCAGCTTGGGATCTGAACATAATTCTACGACATCTCATGAGTGATGCCTACGGACCTCTAGACCATACTACCTTCGAGCTACTTGCACAGAAAACTCTGTTCCTCCTTGCCCTAGCTACGGCAGCTCGAATGTCAGAGATACATGCGCTGGATTTTGGACGAACTAGATTCGACACAGGGCACCATGCTGCAGAAAATCTAGGACTTAGATGGGATTTTATTGCAAAGAATGAACTACCTGGTCAACCAGATAGACAGTTCCATGTCCCAGCGCTATCTACGATCCTTGGTCCAGAGGACACCCAGGACTTATCCTTGTGTCCTGTCAGAGCTTTAAACATATTAAGCTAAAACAAGGAGAAGAAAATTCAAGAGCCTTTTCATCCCCTTGTCGACGGAAACATCGGTGGAGGTCTCAAGAACGACAATTTTGTTTTGGATGACAGCTGTTATACTAAGAGCCTGTAAAGCAGCAGGATTAGAACCTCCAAGAGCTTCCAACCCACCTGAAGTCAGAGCACTGGCATCTACACTCGCTCTGCATGGAAATTGCTCAATATCATCAAAAATGGAGGGCTGCTTTTGGAAGTCGGATACAGTGTTTGCCAACCACTACCTCAGAAACATAGCCACCCGAAGACGTCTCAGGCATTCACCAGTTTGGGCCTCTTGTTGTAGCACAACAACTAACGGTTCCACAAAGGCACTGAGTTGGAAATCTCACCCTTTATTACGTTGACTTGTTGATAACTTTTACTACGAAAAAGTTTTAGTTTGAAAGTCCATGCGCACAGTCAAGACTAGACTAGCATGAGTAAGTAACAATCTTACCTGTATGTTAAGGGGTCGTAACTCATTTATGATAACGATCTTATCATATCTATGGGTTGTTATAGATAACTAGTAAAAAGAAGATACTAGTATATCAGGGGTTTATAATGGAAGTTGGAAGAATAGGATCTAGGAAATGCCGTTACGCAGTTCCCATTGGGGGGGGGGGGGGATACAGGACGTATCTAAGGACAGCTGATGAATCCACGAAGTGGCTTGACCCACCACCAATCCGTCGGATTCTATAAGCAAAAGATCATGAGTCAGGATAAGGAAAAATATGGAATTTTTTAAGTAAAATTGATATTTTATACTTATCCTGACTCATGAGGTCAAGCCCTCCCAACCTCCCCGCTGAAGACACTTCGGATTTCACAGTAGATCCAGGTGCATGGGCTAAATTCAGGAGGGAGTGGCAAGTATGGCTGGTCATATGACTGCACGGGAAAAGGGAGGTAACTCGTGGGTGAGTGAACTTTTACGTCCGCTTTAGGCAACTACAAGGGATTCAAGTGTTGCACTAACATTCGCATAGAAGAAGGAGATAAGCCAAAGATCATGAGTTAGGATAAGTATAAAATATCAATTTTACTTAAAAAATTACATATTTAGAACCTTGTCATAATGAATAATATTAACATTTATGAAGTGTTTATTGGAGAAATTGAAAGCAATAGCTTCAGAGAGACTACTGGCTGCCCAACAGTTATCGCCAATACGTCAGTATCACACGTGTACAGTTCCGGTCAATTACAGTACCACTATTCTTTCTTCACGGTAAGTAACATCAGAGAAAAATTAAAGATCAAGTTATGAACCCTATACATATTTTTTAACTTAGGGGAATGTCACATGATCTATAGATCATAGCAAGTCATTAATTCTTTCATTCCCTATCAGTCTACTGTGAAAAAAACACTCAACTAATCACACAATCAATTATTCAAGGTTACTTTATGATATGAACATATATTATTTCACGAATGACATGTGAAATTCTGAAATGGCAATAACTGTTACAGTTAGTTGTGAGAAAACACCTGTTTGTACTGCCATGATTCCCTTCCGCCGCATTATTTAAAAACACGATCGGCGGCAGTGAACGGGCTGGACACATCGATGAATAGCTAATTAAGTATCATAATTGATTCTGTGTGTAATCATGTGACCAGTCATGAGACTCTTTAGCGACAGAGGTCGCTTACCTTCAGTCTTGCTCAGCGTTTCAATATGGAGGAGTTATCTCCCTTTATATGTGGATTGTGAGTGGGGAGTACGTTGAGTAGAGATTAGGCATTTGTTTCAAATATATTATGCAATTGTTATTTGAAATTCAAATAAATGTTTGTAACATATATTTTTGTTGTGTCATGACTGGTCACAAATGATAAATTCATTAATTTAACCAATGGCAGAGTAATTTTGTAAATACTGCTAAAATATGGCAGTAACTGTTCGGCAGCCAGTAGACTCAATTGGCTGAAAAACACATAAATAAAATACATGATTTTAATTGTTTGGTCCTGACATGCCTGTATGCTGGTCACACTCATATAGCTGACAGATGACTGAGTGTGGCATTAAACAAACAAACAAACAGGTAACCCAGTGATGAAAGTATATAAGGTGGTATTTCTTATGTTCATAATTACCCATACTGTCTATTGTTGACTGTTGAAATTGTTTGAACTCCTCACATGATGTACAACTGTACAAGCAAAACTGTCTATCTGTAGTGGACATGAGCATGTTTTCACAAAGTACTGTTTTAATGGCAGATTTTTTTCCTTTTCAGTGCTCATCAGGAGATGCAGTTGTCGAAGTTGTTATAGTGACATAGCACCTTATGTTTGTTAATAATTTCCTTCCAGTATCACAGAGGTATACAGGGCACTGAAGTCAACCAGTGAATTCGTAAAAGTGTTGTTACTGTGTTGTACTTAGTAGGATATCAGTAGTTACTCTGTTGTTGTTCATTCTAAGCAAGGAATTAACTGAACACTCTGAACATACAGTTGAATAGATACAAATATACACCATTATGCATAATTTTAGAGAAATTACATATCAATCATAGGTAAAGTGAGAGAAATCTTTAGAATCAGTTGATTCGGAAATAAAATCAACACAAATATGGATTTAAACAGCAGGAAAATGTTGCAGTAACATTGCAAGTTGAAGTCAGCTTACTGATTCTGTCATTGTTTTGTTGTTAATAAAGCACATTTATATGACAGTATCTTTGATCTTTGGTAATCTTCATGAATCTAGCATTTAAGGAAATGATGTTCTAGTTCTATCATTTAGTTTTATAGGTTGTATGCAGTGCTTGAGGGTATTCGAATACTCTCACTGTTGCCAATAAGAATATAGTATGAATAAATTTGCTAATAATATTTAAAACTAAAGAGTTAAAAAATATGTTTTGTTTTGCTGTGTTTGTGATGGTACATTATTTGGCTTTCAGGTTTGGGAACTCTGACTGACATCTTAGAGAGTTGCCCTTTACATGTGTGGTACACTCACCACCCTGTTGTCACCTGCTGGGTGTTTAGTGAGGAGAGTCGAGCCGTGCAACTAGGAAATGCTCTGGTGGGTCTCCTGAGTTTGTGTACATTGTTATCACCTGGATGGGGATGTGGTAATCAGCCTGTCAGACTGGCTGTAATCATTTACTCTTCACATGATATGTCTAACACTAATATGTATTGTTTTAATCAAAAATTGCATTTGCAAAGACCAGGTTGTCAAATTGTGCTGTTTGCTATTTTAGGATTTTTAAAAACTTTCTCCAAAACTACCAGTTTGCTTGCATGTAGTATAACCAAATTGTAAAATCATACTTATTATTCTTGACAGATTTTTAGTAATTGTAAGACATCCTCTTACTCATATCTTTGTCAAACAGGACTGAATGTACACATATTAACTTCCGAATCCAAGGGCCAAGGTGTTCATTTGATAGCTCAATAACAATACTTAAATACAAACAGACAGATAAGATATGAATAGTCTCATCAAGCTGGACATACCAGAATCTGTTAAAATCATATGATTTGTTCATTTTAATTTGTGGAGAGCTGGGGCTTTGTCATCTTCTGATGATCTTGTTTCTTGTTGAAAACCAAGTCACTGTGTTCATTTGATTGAAGAGTTCATAAAATCTTGATGACCCAAACAGCTGTAGATAAAAACAGTGTGAGGGTTTCATCTTGGGTATTCAGTGAGGAGTAAACCTGAGCTAACTACTGTTAATCAAGGATAACCTAGGGCAGCACTCAAAATAAAAAATAAAACACATAAAATGCAAAAATTGGTACAGGAGAATAGCAACATATGAGTATTTCTGTAACACACAACTATACTATGTCATCATATCCTAGTTGCATATCAGTGCTCATGATGTTGATCACTGTATTGTCTTGTCCAGACTTGATTATTTACAGACCGCCACCATGTAGCTGGAATATTGCTGAGTGTGTCATCATGGTCATTAAACAACAGCAAACATTAACGTATGACCGAATTCAGTTATCATGTACTTATCATATGACAACTAAGATTAACTTGGGTATACCTTGATCAATGTTGTGAAGGCTTCATTTAACCGTGATTAGTTTGTTCTTTTTTAAATATCTATATTTTTTTCTGGTAATAGGTTGTGAACATAACAAGGCTATCACTTGAAACATTAACTTCATCTCTTTCTGCCCAATGTCTAAGTTTGAAAAAGTGTAAGTTTAGGAAAGTCAAAAGTATTGGAGTAACTTCTCATTTGGGCATTCTGGGTTAGAATAGTCCCTCAATAATGATACAAGTTGTAGAGACAACTAAATGGATCATGGGGGTCAGACTTTGTGATTATGTGTCGTTGTACCCCATAGTGTGGGTCTTTGCTCACAGTATCAGTGACTGCATATCTGGTCCAGATGTGATTATTTTCAGGCCACTGTAATGTTCCTGTTGATCAAGATGCAAAATGTTTTGTGAGTAATTTACTGCTGTATCTTGAAGCTTAACATTGCTTGGGTGGTGTTTTGAAGCTGGAGTACTGGCTGCCCCTGATTAATGTGAACAGTCTGGAAACAGCATTAGCCTCAACAAGAGCACAGTCCAGTCACACAGGCTCACAGCACACTTGCCCCGACCAGCAGCGAACTGCCCTTGAACAACAGTGTGAAAACACAGACCTACACCATGTAGATATAGAACGAAACCATGCAGGTACGGAGAGACACCATGAAGGAACAGTATGCCAACTGACAGA